AAAGGAATCAATAATAAAAATATTTTTATCCTTGACTAGAAAGTGTCGTGAATAAGGGATTATTCACTATCTAAGGCTTGATCAGTCTTATATACTTCAAATTGAGTGGGGATGAATGATCTCTACATCGAGGCGAATTCCTGGCTGGCTCTAAGATATAATGCTAGGAAATGTGTGTAATTTAAGTAGACACACATTTGAATGCGACTGCAATAAAGAGATATTATGATCTCACTTGGTATTACAGATACGAACAGGAAAGACACGGTGGAGAGTAAAGCGGTTTGGCTAACGATAGACGTGTTTGATCTCAAACGTGATCCTTGAATCACGACTATTGTTAGCCAACCATCTCTAGCTTTCACCGTTTCTATACTTTTATATCTATACTACCAAGCCTATTACTTCCTATGCCCTAGTCTCTTGTATGCCAACCCACAAACGTTGTGGTTCAACATTAAACCTAACCAAAGCAAGCGGTAGCATAACATTTGTGGGTTGGCGCACAAGATACTAAGGCATAGCAAGTCATAGACTTGGTATTAGGGATAAAAACAGGATAGACACGGTGGGGACCGGAGCTAGTTGGCTGACGGTAGGTCGGTTGTACCAGAGACGTGGTCCATGTAGCAAAGGGCTGATGATGACACTTAGAGGCTTAAGCCTCGAATTAGTCACCCAGACGCAGGTGAGGGCGAATATCGCTTCGAGTAGGACAGATATGGTGACAGGAGCCGAGTGAAATAGGTGAACAAGGGCTAGAACAGACTGATTTTACGGAGCAAGAGAGAGACTGAGATAAGACTAGGGAAGATGACTGCATAATAATTATAGAGCAGACTCGGATCAACATTCTCTGCACAAGGATGAAGGAGGGGGAGGGGGTGAGAACGACAGTTGAAGTCTGAAAGTGTCATGTCGCTCAAAGGAGCACACCACACTACCTAAATAAACACGGTGAAAATAGTAATAGGGAAGGCATGATAGGATGTTAACGGAAACGCGAATAACCCAGGGCAGAAGGGGAGATACCACAATTGTTTAGCACTCGTTTGATCAAAGGATCGGCTTCATTTGTCTCTTTGACGAGTTGTTGTGTGGTGCTAAGTATTGCGATACTCACTGACGATGCCGGCGAAAGGTTTGGGAATGTACTACGTCCACGGTTCAACTATGGAAATGATCATACAGACAATGGACCCCGGACTAGGTGCGTCTCTCTAAGCCTTCCTACCAATTAGACCATGTTGCGAAAATAAGGTCAAACAACCTCCATACAACGAAAGGAGACTGCAACTACACAAAAGGCCACACCATCTTGGTCTTCATACCTTCAGCGATAGAGAACTTTGTTGTTTTAGAGTGATATACCTATGAATATTTTGATCACACCTTTATACATTCTACACTCCATGATCGTATGGCAGAAGAAATAACGCATTCTATAGAAATTAGAGTCAAAGTTAGTGACTGCTAAGAAATACTCATCCACAATAATCTTGCATTCCGAATCAAGCATTTGGATAGATATCTCTAAAATTGTACGCATCCTTTCGAATTAATTTTATGAAAGGAATTATTTTGCTTTAGACAGCCACATAAGAATAAATGCTTTTAACTTGTAAATGTAGCAGTATTTATCGATTTAAAATGGTTTGGCATTATAATATGATAGGAGCCGTTAACAGTCGTTAATTTTATCTTGCAGATGACTAAGTTGGCTGAGAAAAAAGCTGTTCTCGATGAAGTAGAGGCAAAGTTGCAAGCCTTGCAAGATCAACTGGATGCTATGGTACAAAAGAAACAGGATCTAGAGGATAATATAGAACTATGCAGTAAGAAACTTGACAGAGCCGAAAAACTGATTAGCGGCTTGGGGGGTGAGAAAAGTCGCTGGACGGAGGTTGCCAAAACGCTAAAGGTGAAGTAATTATTTAATTTAATATTACTTAGACATTACCATTACCTATTAAGAATAAAAAAATCTAGAACTGGTAAACTTACACATTACAGAATACGAGATATATTTAACCGATTTAGTTAAAGGGATTAAATACTGGTAGGAGAATTTTTTTAAAACGGAATACGCAGGTCTTACGTTTCCATCGAATTCAACATTTCATTGCTTGCCAAAAGGTATTCGTCTGCAGGCTAGACTGAAGTGTAATTTTAGCCTCGTCTAGGTCTCATCAGCATCCCCAGTTGGATTAACCACGATAGAGCGGAATATAAGCTTGAAAAGTTAAGGATACGCAACAGTGCAATGCGTACTCTTAGTTCACAATCCAGGGGTGAATTTAAAAGAAGGCAAGTTATTTTCGCATTGAAATTCTCATGTGACATTTGACTCAAGTTCAAGAGTATAAGTCTAGCGTAATAGCTAATGTATCGAGATTATAAGCTGGACTGTCACTATTTAAGTCACAATTGGGGCTCTAAAAATATATATGCTTGGTTTGGCCTAAGGTTCGCTCCGGCCCAGATAAGAACCTATGTAGGAAGGCAGGGCTATGTGAATTTCGATGAATTTAAGGGCGAACCTTTCACTTCGTAGTATAATGCATGAGGAAGAGATTAAAAGGTCGATGTCAATAGAAGAAGTTTTACTGTAGACATTTGGCTTTAGTACGACATTTAGTTTGACATAGTCAACGAGATATAATCTCTCGTTTAGTGTGAAAAAGGTCTAAACTTTCATTTGTCAAATGATGAGCTTCATCAAAGCTGGAATGCATTCTTGTTAAAGTTAACTTAAGGATTCGGTCAGGAAAAATATTCAACTCTATCTTACCTCTTATATATGCTCATAAATAAAAGACAAAAATGTATAGCCATTGAAAGTTATATAATAGTTTGGCTAGTTATCTTTTATATTGGTCACGCTACTTTTACTCAACCTTGTAAGCATGTAAGTGTGTGTTAGCGAGTATGCACAATTCTGGTTATAAATCAGAGTGATAAATAAAGCCTAATGCCAGGCTCTGGTTATCAAGGCTTACTGGGCAAAGGGAAAACCTTGTACGCTTAGTGCTGCTTCTAACTTCCTTTACAATCGTCTAGCAGGTTAGCTTAAGCTCATCAACCAAACCAGACGTACTAGACAACCCAGCCACAGTAATGATTTTCCTTTAATAGTTGTACACTAATGAAACTAGAATGAAAGGTAAGGACATGTGGTATCATAATCTGAGTCGCAAGTTTACATTTCTTTCCTTTAACTCGAGATGCTTACTAACGCAGCTTCGGTCTGGGTCTTCTCTTAGTTAATTAAACCTTGAAGATCTGAACCTGACACTAGACTTTATTGATCACTCTGATCTATGACCAGAATTGTGTATAGTCGTCAGCACATACTGATACAACCGATTAAACTGGCTCATTAACCAAACTAGGGGTGCGAAATTGCTCAGCCTTAGTCATACCTTTCCTTGAATGGGGAAACATGACTGATTATAAACTGAGAGGTTAAGACAGTCGGTTTTGAAACTTGACTAACAAGCCTACATCTTATTATCCCAAATGAGGTGCTTGCAAAATTATGATGTTTTGATCGTGGTTTTTCTTTGGTCATTAAGCCTTGACAACCAGAGCCTGACATTAGGCTCTATTGATCACTCTGATTTAGAACCAGAATTGTGTATAGTCGCTAACAGACACTCACATACTTACAAAGTCGAGTAAAAGTAGTATGAGCAATATGAAAGATAAGTAGACAAACTATTCTATAACTTTTAATGGCTATACATTTTCACGATTAAAATGCGCATTTTGCCATAATTAATTTGAATAGGCCTTTCTCCCTATTAGTTCTATTATTTAGGAAGGATGGCAGTAGCGACCTTATAATAAATTTCAATATAAATCTAACATTGATTGTGCCACATATTGTGTTTACAAGTTAATACGCTTCAGAACCATGGGTGCTAGATGTTCAATGAGTACACGTTAGGTTTAAAGATAGATGGACATCTCATATATCAATTTTATAATGTGGCCTGCAGTT